TTCGTTTATAGAGTCAGACCCCCTGGTACGCAGCAGCCCCACGGGGCTGTCTGATGGCAGCAACTGGGCCTCTCTAGCACAGGCGTTGACGCAGGCGAAGCAGCTGCTGCACCGCCCGCAGCAGCAGCAGCAGCAGCAACTCGCGGATGCAGCAGGAGCTGCTCAGGTGCATGACTGCTTGGCTCGGCTTCATGAGGCGGTGCTTCTACTGCAGCGGGAGAACCAGCAGCTACAGGCGCGTGTGCAGCAGCAGCAACAGCAACAGCAGCAGCAACAACAGCAACAACAGATGCGGTTGCAAGCTCTACACCGGCTGCATGCACCACCATCAAAAGAAGGCGTGTCTAACTCTAGGGCTCAATCATTAAGCCCCTTCGGCACAGCAAGCGAAGTCAGTGCTTCTGCTGATGGATGCAACAGCAGCGGCTCCAGCGCCCCCCTATGGAGGGCCCTTAGTGGCAGCGTTCTCCCTTGCCCTGAGGAGACACCTGATGAGATACGCAGCGCCCCCAACCCCTCCACGCCGCTTCTTAGGGGAGGAGATGTCTCCGTTGAACAGTTTTTAAGCACGTGAGGCAGATATATATATATATATATATATATATATATATATATATATATATATATATATATATATATATATATATATATTCCTTTTATGCAGTCTAAGTCCGTACGTATTTTATATAATGCAGAGAATACATATATTGTTTGTTTTATCTAGAACACCCACAGCCTTATTCTATATATTATATAAAATACATACAAGTATATATTCGTTATATACAAGCATTTAATTTATATTTACTTGTTGCATGATCTCTTGACTCGATGGGGACCCGCAGAAGCAACACAAGCGAAGTCTCTGGGTGCACTCGCGGTCATCTCTTCTTCAGTATTTGGGGCTTGCAAGGGCCCCTTCTTCTGTGTATGGATGCATGCGTGCATGCGTGCATGCGTGCATAGAAGGTATATATGGGTGTGTGGTGTATATATATGGGTGTGTGGTGTATTGTTTGTGTTGTTGCTTGTGTTCAGGTTTCCGTTCTCCGCTTGTTCGCGCGAGTACAGCCATTCGGTGTTGAAGTTTTGTGCTGACCACAACTTAGTGGTTAAGCTACTGGGGTTTCAAGGGAGGCGTGTTGAGCTGCTGGAGAGACATCATAGATGCCGCATACAGACATCAGCACAAGCAGCTTCGTTCCCAGGGTATCCTAATGGGCGTTGTGTATTGTTTGTAGGGGCCCTTATCTCGTTGCTGCGTGCTAGTGCTGATCTCTTCGCCGTAGCGGATACAAGCAGGCCAGGCCTACGTCACAACCTAGAGGGGTATAGGATGTGTTTGGTGGTTCCTGGGGAGTATGTGGGGCGTCTACTCCGCAGCAACTGTTCTGGATTGCATGCACTGCAAGAGGGAGGAGGCAAGACAGTACATATAGCGCTAGGGAATCTCTGTGTCCTAATGGGGGGAGGGTATTCAGAGCGAGTGTTGTTGATTGATGGGGCCCTTGATGGTGTGGCTAGGGTGCTGGAGATGGCAGCAACACAGCTACAAGACTTCTTCCGCAGGAACCCAGGGCCCCCCGGGGGTGCAGCAGGAGCAGGAGGTACTCCTCTTATCCAGCGATATGAATTCCTTGATTATCCGAAACGAATAGATGTGCAGCTCTCCTAGAAGGAGGTAACTGCAGGCAACAGAGGCACGCAACAAAACGCAGGACAAACAAAGGCTGGGTCGATAACTGCAGCAGCAATATACACTGCAACAACAGCAGCGGCAGCAGCGATAGCAGCGATAGCAGCGATAGCAGCGACAGCAGCGATCATAAAACCTGGGAGAGCCTTGCTTCATTAGAAGCGAGATTTGAGCCCCAGGGGGGAACGGCAGAAACCACGGGATATCTCGTGGTGTATTGATTTCACATTCCTGTCCTATTCATGAGAGAGCTGACATGCAGCTTTCGTACTATTGGAGTCTGTCACAGTGGCGCTGAGGCAGCATCATCACCAGATGCAATAAAAAAACGAAAGCAGCAAGAACAGCAGCAGCACCAGCATATACCTCATGAGGCCTAGGAGAGCCTCGCTTCGTTGGATGGGAGATTTGGTCCCCGGGGGCAACCATAGGGGCCAGGGGGCCCCTCGGTCTATAGACATGAATTCCTTAACGTTTCAGAGAGGACATACATGCAGCACTTATGATATTAGAGGCTGTCACAGCAGCGCTGAGGCAGCATCAGAAGCAATAACAACTGCAGAAGCAACTGCAGCAGCAACATCATATCTTTCATGAGGCCTAGTATGGCCTCGCTTATTCGGATGGGATATTTGTGGGAGTGAATCGAAGAGGGCTGACCAGACAGTGTGAGTGTATCGCCAGTCTTCGGGTGTACCGGGGGCTAGCGTCTTGTATGTATTAAGTTGTGCTGAGAGGGGGCCCCATGTCTGAGGTCATGGAAGGAGGGCCCCAGCTCCCGTTCTCTTGTCTCCTTTCGGAGTTGCCGTAGAGAGGATATCGCTTTCTGCCGCTGCGGCGCCTTGTCTTACTGCTGTGGCGGCGTTGCTTCGTTCGGGCATACCGCCCAACCAACAGCACTGAAATCTGTCGATTGACAGCCCCTGGTATTTAGCTCTGGGGGATCCACAGCGACAGCGTTTCAACGGCAGAAATAGCAACAGAAACAGCGAAAGCAACAACAGCACGGTGTCGCTGTTGTTGGGTTGTCTTGGGATCGTTCTTGATCCGACCCCAATGGACATTCCAGGCTATATACTCCGATAGGAGAAGTTGCGTATGTGTTTCTTTTGCCTCTCCGTATGTTCTCGGCAAGTGTTGCTGCTCGATGCTGTGGAGCAGCAGCAGCTACGCATCCGTCTTCCATGTTGTACAACGGAAACGGTATGCGTCGTGTCAAGCGAACAGTCTCGCTGCGGTGGCGATACACACCAGCAAACAGTAGCTGAGGTGTTGGGGATGCCCAGCACCAGTGGGTACAGCGCACCCGCAGGGGCTGTTTGTTTCTCTTCTGCAGTATTGTCAAGCGTACTGTAGAAGAAGTGAAGTGGCCTCTTCTCCGAAGTGTGTAGCTTTTCTATCGCCTCCAAGTGTCCCCCATACCTGTACGGAAGAGCAGACGTTGGGGGCTTCTTGCGGAGCACTTTGTGGACCCCTCTAGCCCGCCTCAACTTGTGTCTTTCATGCAGAAGCTGAGGTGTCGGGAATGCGCTGCAGCAGTGGATACAGCATTGGGGGCTATTATTATATTTCCTTTCTTCGTCAGGCACGTACCCGGGACTGGAGAAGGTGAAATATATATAATCGGCCTCTTTTCCAATGCCTGCGGCTCTCCTCTGGCTCTCAAGGTTCACTCAAACTTGTACGGAATAACCGACGTTGCGGGCTTCTGCAGAAGCAATTCATGGACCCCCTAATTTGCCCCAGCAAACAGCAGCTGAGGTGTATGCGTGTGCTGCAGCAGTGGGTATATCAGCAGGGGCCTTTCATTTCTCTTGCGCATCGCCGAGCGTGAAAGTTGCAGTTGCAGGAAGCGATGATTGTACGGATCTCTTCTCAAGTCTGTGGCTTTTCTATCGCATTTAAGGTTCCCCCATACCTGCATGGAGTAGATGTTTGGGGCTTATCTAGAACCTTGCCGTTGACCCCCTAACCTACTCCGGCAAGCAGTAGCCCCGGTGTCTATAGAGTGTGCTGCAGCAGTGGGTACAGCAACAGCAGGAGCCTTTCGTTTCCCTTCTGCACTGTAAAGCACAGAGCTTGCATGGCAGAGACAGTGAAATGTAGTGAGTCGCCTGTTGTTATGCTTGTGGCTCTTCTATGACTTTCATGGCTCCCCCGTACCTATACGGAACAAAGTTGGGGGGCGACTGCAAAAGCACTTCATGGACCCCTAACTTAATTACTGCTTCAGGTCTGTCAAGAAAAGACCTTCCAGCGACGGATACAAACAGATGAGCGGCAGTGATTTATGTAACCGTTGGTTGGTTCCGGTTGGGCTACTGCATTAGGTTTTGTCAGTTGTGGTCCCCGGACTTGGCTAGCGCCTGTCTCCTCGCTCTGATCCTTATCGCTTACCGGTAGCGTCCCTTGCCGGGGAGTATAACGGTAGCAGAGTGGAGCGTAGGATCCACGAGTATAACAGCACGCAGGTAAAGTAAATTAAGGTAAAAGCTCAATAACCTGTCGCCTTACCGGGTAGCCGGGAGTCATCTTATCGCTGCAAATGCGACACATGACATCTCACCATTCACGGTCGATGACATACTTTATTCCACAGAGAATTGGTCCCCTGCAATGCCTGATTTGGAACCCCCCGCTTTTAGCTGTTTGCCACCAGCAGTTCATCCACCCTCAGCGTTTTCTAGGCGGCAGGACTGCGCCGCACGAGCCAACACCCTAATTTACCGCTTTCCTGCGAGGAAAGACCCATGCCGTATTTTTGATTTCTGCGTCTTGTTTGCGGCCTATTCAAACTCCAACTGTAGTCTTTAATCCAGTGGTGCCCGCGCTCCGTGTTGACAAGCATTAGCTTCGGCTTTCGATGTTCGGTAACAGCGGAGGGGCCGTCACTGGCTTGCCCACGATACCGCTAGTTACACAACGCCAAGATCTGTTCGCCTGCTGTATGTAGCAGGCTTCACCCTAGCCGTTTAAGGAGTGAAGACCCCACTAACATAGCTTGCTACTTATGCTCCGCTTGCTTGTTCTACCTAGTACGCTTTCTATGGAGAGACAGCTCCACTAGGTAGCTGACTACCCGCTTTCCCGTCGCCTGCTCTAGCATTCTTCGCCCTTGATTTCTACGCAGAGGGGATCCCACTAAGGTAGTTGGCTGCATCATGCACTGTACTTCGCTGCTGCCGTCTTCAGGGCTGCGCAGGCCAGTATAAACAGCTAGCCAGTTTTGCTTCTGCATTGTAGATGGAGGGGGCCCTGCTACGGTAGCTGCCTACATCGTCTATTTCGCTGCTGTGCTCTTTAGAGCTGCATAGACAAACAAGAAGTCATTTATACGTGCTTAAACTAGCACAGTAGGCACTTGCTGCTCGCTTACTTCGTGTTCTGTAGTTAGCATGAAGAGAAATATCAATTCGCGCTCCTTCATTCGACAGAGCTTGCTACATGGGCCATAAGCTCCGTTGTATTCTAACCTATGACGGTTTCACTTCTTTTGAACAGCTGTGAGTTTCAACAGCTATACTTCAACTCGTTCTTAAATCTGGCTATCCTTCACGTTGCCCCAGCTAGGCAGAGGCACTTTCTGTGTAAACCTGCGTAGTTGAAATGCAAAATGGCCGACCCATATGATATTTATGAAGAGAGTTCTTCTCCACCCTGAACTGTGTTGCTTTTTCCCATCTGCTCATCGGTGTACCGGGTGTGATATCCGGTAGAACGCCGTTGATCCTAGCCTGGCGGAAAGCGAGCAAACAGCATTGTTGATGGCTGCGTATGATCTATAGGACGAGATTTTCGCCAGTAGACTTCTGTTGCTGCTGTTTCTGTTGCTGCTGCGGCTGTTGCTGCTGCTGTTGTTGCTGCTGCTGCTGTGGTTTCTACTGCTGGTGCTGACTGCTGCTGCTGCTACTGCTGCTGCTGCTGACAGCTGCTGCTGCTGCAGCTCCCGCTGTTGTTGCTGTTGCTGCTGCTGCGGTTGTTGTTGTTGCTGCTGCTGCTGTTGCTGTTGTTGTTGCTGTTCTCGTTGTCGCTGCTGCTGCGGTCGTTGTTGTTGCTGCTGCTTCTGCTGTAGCCGTTGCTGCTGCTGTTGCTGTTGCTGCTGCTGTTGCTGTTGCTGCTGCTGTTGCTGTTGCTGCTGCTGTTGCTGTTGCTGCTGCTGTTGCTGTTGTTTTTGCCGCTATTGGTGCTGCTGCTGCTGTTGTTGTTGTTTTTGCTGCTGCTGCTGCTCTTGCTGCTGCTGCTGTTGCTGCTGTTGCTGTTGCTGCTGCTGCTGCTGTTGTTGTTGCTGTTGTTGTTGCTGTTGTTGTTGCTGTTGTTGTTGCTGTTGTTGGTGCTGCTGCTGCTGTTGCCGCTGTTACTTATGCTGCTGTTGCATGTGTTGCCGCTGTTGCTGTTGTTGGTGTTTTTGTTGCTGCTGCTGCTGATACGGAGCATCCAGGGGTCGAAGTCCGCGCTTAGAGATGCACGAATGCATCCATTTAAAGCAAGCTAGTTGGACCAACCTGAAGCCATATTTAAAAAAGAGTTGGCGTACAGCTGTTGAAATCCACAGCTGTTTGAAGGAGGTGCGACCATCACATGCTAGAATATAACGCTGCTTACGACAAGTGTAAGAAGGTCTGTGGACAGCAATGAATCGATATTTCTGTGCATATTGTCTACCGAAAGTGAAGCAGTTTCCTACAGCGTCAGTGTATCCATGTAAGCAGGGATTTATACTTGCATATAAGGTTGACGAGTAGCATAAGTTGCAGCAGAGCAGCGGCTGCAGCAGATAGCCCAACGGCTAAGGGCAGTTAGCCGCACCTCTCCACCATCCCCAATATGTTATCAGGAAATGTGAAGGCATGATTGGGTGTCGCATACATTGGGAGGAAGTGCTGCCCTCCTGGGAGGAAGTGGTACCCTCTGCTTGTTGACTCTATTGAAGCTCAAAGCTGTCCTTGACTAAGGTACAGGGCAATCGTTACACTTACTAGCACTGCCTGCGTAAAATGGGACAGGCAAGGACTGAAAACCGATTCCCACATCCTGATCGTGCGAACTGTTTATTGGGGAGGAAATTTTCCTTAAGCAAAATCAAGGGAGAGCACCAACAGCCGTCCACAAATCCTTATCAAAGCTTTAGCCTTTTACCAGCTAGAATAATGACTAGTGAGAAATTTTGAGTATCTGGCAGGGAGGTGACCAGTGGGTGAGTCGCTCACCGGGGAGGTATGACTGCACTCTCCGCAGTCCATCTGAGTAAAGCGTTTTATCGTAAAGGCAACACAAGAAGAATGCCTCTCCAAAGTGCTGATCTTCTAACTAGGACGGTTGTCTCGATATCGGGAGAGTGTAACGATTGCTAGCTTTTCTGTAGCTGCTGTTTTCCTTACGAGTACTCCCAAAGTTCTACAGCTGCCTCTGGCATATTCTTTATCAAAAGAGAGGTCAGGAGAATGGTGGCCAGGCAAGAGAACCATCAGTTTCACATAGCACATCAGGAAGGTTTTTGCTGCATGAGCTGGTGCTTATGTTTATTAGTACATCAGCTCCACCTCTGACCGTTTTGACAGGCTCATCACAGGCAATGACGTCTCATCTGTCCTCAGCAGAGCCGTAGGCAGACCAGCGGATTGCTGATTTCACTATCCCTAACTTAGAGTTTCAACGTGCGCCGTGTCCACCCGTTCCTATCGACGTGGGGTGCCGTCGCAGCATCCGTGCGTCCTGCTCTCTCTCAGCTCTCATTGCTGCTCGTCCATCCTCTACCCTGCCTGATTCCAGTGTGGCACACTGTTTTATCAGTGTGGATTCCATCCAGCGTCTTCGCTTTCCTGTGATATGCCAAGCCGTTCCTTTCAAGCTCTTGGGCAGATGGCCGTTCTGTTGTTGGGGAGCAAGCCTCTCTGACTTGGTCCAGAGGATCTGCATGTCTCACCGATGCCTTCTATTTGGATTCATTACCTCATGACTGCATCTTGGGTAGTAACTGATTATTTCAACATCGGGTACGTGGGCGGACGCAGATAAAATGCGTGTTTACATATGGGGGACTTCGTATGTGCTGTCGCTTCGGGGTTCTCGAGGAGACTCTTCATTCGATCATTATCTCCTACATGGGAAACTCCCTTTTCCAGCTGAAAGTGCATACCATGATCTTGCGCGTCAGGTGGCCTTTAATCTCATCAACCCCGTTCCCTTTGCTGTATGTAGCGCAGATCTTGTCTCGCCCCCATGTGGTGGTCTGACTTTGAGTACCTTAGCTCCAGCACCTGCCCGTTCTGTGTCCCCAGCAAACCCTACTCCTATTGATTTCCATGCCCAGGTGCTCGAGGAAGAAATTCCCCCCTTTCAAACCGATAAACTGGAGTATTTGGTTTTCGATGAGTGGATGCGCTCACTAGCGGCCACTTAAGCTCATCCTGAACTTTTGAGAGTCTTGAAGGAGTTCGTTGAGGTTTCATTGCCAACCGGCCTCCCTCCCAAAAGGCTACAAGATCACCGTCTCCTTCTTGTGCCCCTCCAGTTGCCGACAAAGCCGGTACTGTAAAGCCATGTCACCTGAACAGTTGGCACACCACAGAGAGGAGATAGCGAAGCTCGTTGACAAGAGTTGGGTACGTCCTACATATTCCCAGACTTGTTCCCCTACTCTGACGGTTTATACGCACGATGACAGATCTGGCCAGAAGCATATGCGAATGGTTGTCAATTATAAGGCCTTCGGTGCACTGAATATATCACCCGAATTCCCCTTACCCCCTGTACACACGGTCTTGGAGATGCTCGGGGGTGATGGCTATTTTTGGAGGATTGAGCTTGGCTATGCTCCCCACCAGATTTAGATGGCCACCGACGATCCCTGGAAGGCAGCCTTCGGCTCCATCTCGGGCGTCTTCGAGTACAGGGTAATGCCGTTCGGCCTTAAGGGCGTCCCGGCGGCCTTCCAGGCCAATATCAATGCCTACTTGCAGCTGTGGCTAAGCCAAGGGGTTATCGCTTACCTGGATGATGCGCTCCTCTACACTCCTGACCTCCGTTCCCACTTTGACCTTCTTCGTAAGGTCTTAGGCGTGTTCGTACACCACTTCTACCCCGGGCTTCGGAAATCTCGTTTTGCCCAGACGAATCTCACGGGTAGACCACTGACGCTGAGAGTTTGTCCGGAAACTCTAGCGAATGTCACAGAGGTCTGTCAGTTCCTCGGCAGTGTGAATTGCTGTCGGATGTTCATGGGACCAGAGTTCGCGCTAAGCCTCTAGTAGTCCTTACTTGCTCTAACGCACCCTTTAAGTGGCATCCTGAACAGAGACATACCCCGCAAAGCCGTCAATCAGCCCCTCGTTGACTCTGCGGCACTGCAAGCCCCTGACAGTTCTAGGCCATACCAGTTATTCACCGGTGCGTCTGGGTTTGCCACCGGCGCCGTCCTGGAGCAGGATGGCAAACCGGTTGAATTCCTCAGTCAGGTGATCACCGACGTGCAGCATCGGTACTCTATCTACGACAATTAGCTCCTCGGTCTCGTCTCCGCCTTAACCGAATGGAAGTACCTTCTCCGTGCAGCTTATGTCACAGCGTAGACGGACAATCAGGCTCTCACATACCTCCAGAAACTCTCTGCGGCTAAACCGCCATGCCGACGATTGTTAGATTTCCTTGGTGAGCTCCCTCATCTGAAGATTAGCTACCCCCCGGGGCCTAGCATTCGGGTGGCTGATGCTATGTTTCACCATCCCATTCGCCCTGTACTCAGCAGGGTCATGGAACAGCCTTGCTTATTGTTGGTTCCCTCAATAAAATTGACCATTTCATTCCCACATCCAAAACTGTCCCCGCGGAGCAGATGATTGAGTTGTTGGCTTATCGCCTCATCAGGTGTCACGGTTTCCGCGACACGCTTATCAGCGACCACGATCACCGCTTTCAGTCTGATTCTTGGCAGCAGCTTGGTACATGCTTTTTATCCAACGCGCCATGTACACACCCTATCATCCGCGGACTGATGGGCAGACGGCGCTTGTAAACAGCACTCTCGAACCGATCCTCAGGACCTGCATACAATCCGATGAGCAGGAACGCGAGTGCTACCGGCACTGGAACTGGCGTATAAGACCACAAGTCATTCATCCACAGAGCTTAGTCCTTGATAGACTTGACTGTGATATACCGAGTGAACCTCCAAAGCTACCGAACAACCCTATCCTTCTCTGATCATTAGAAAGGCGCTGCAAGTTATCTCAGAGGTGGGCAATCCATTAGCACAGTAAGGTACCCTCGCCGTCTACCGCCAATGCTTTCCTAAGACGCCGCTTTGCACCCATTTCTCTGCGGAAGCCCGAGCTTCTCGGCGGAGATATGGCCTTTGGATCACTTGCCACTCTATCAAGGCAGCGCACCGTGAGAGAGCCCTTTTGCCCCTTACCTGGTTCCTACCACCCTCGACGTTGGCTTGAGGGCCTTCATGCGCATCTAGAGTAAAAATAGCTACCCCTCTACTAACGCGCTACCCTGGCCAACAGTAATTCGGGTTCGCGAAGTGACGCCCACGTCCCCATCGCTCACAGTGTTTGCGTGCTCGCGAAAAGGTGTGCAGGGCCGGCGGGCTCTGAGCAGGCAAGCCCAGAAAAAATGTATTTTATTTACAGTGAGGGGCTGCGCATTGTAGTGGCTACCAGGGCACGGTTGACCTATGTGAGGGCAGCGAGACGTCTGGCCCCGGGGGACAAAATTCACACGGGATAGGCGCGCCCACGACATAGGGGGCAGCTGGCTAGTTGTTTGCTAGTATTGACAAGATCGGCCTTTGGGTAGCAGTAGTGGGGCTCAGCGCTTTATGAGGGAGACGGAGTCTACCGGTCGCTTTGCAGGGGCGAAGGCTGGGGGTATCTTTTCACGGTCGCCCACCTCACGCATCTGTAGGGTTTGCACAGACAGGGCATTACCTTGCAGTTACACACTTTGACATTTAGCGAGGCACATAGGCGGACTCCCCCATCCGGCGGTCCGGACTGCTGTCGCGACACTGAGAAAGCACCGCTAGCTTAACGAAAAACACGTCAAACAACTTGGTTGCCGAGCCTTTCACCGCCGTGGATGCCGAGTAGCAACGTTGTGCTTTATACAAGCTGTGAGCTCCCCTGCAGACTCTCCCTCACACCAGCGGCACAACACAAATGGGGCAGCAGACAGGCATCCTTAACATGCACTACACGGCACATTATGTTGTGTTGCCGTATTCTTTGCCGCTGGCTTAGACCATTGCTGTAGTACCCAGGCACCAAAAACAAGAGCCCCACATGGCCAGCTTCGCACTCGTATCCTCTGCTTCAACTTTGTTGCACTGGGCGTAAGCGCGTGCTGCGCTAGCCTTTCGTGGCAAACTTGACATACTAGGCTACTTTGTCCGGGAGACATAAGGCAAACATACACCTAGCCGGAGTGGCACGAAGGCAGCGCATTCTCTGGTTCTGAGCTTATGATAATCGAAGCGCAAGCCGGACGGCTCCAGGAGCCAGAGGTAAAAGCGTAAAATGTGCGATCGCACCTTCCGCCTACAACCTCTTCCACATCCAACTTTTTCTATTAGCCTTAGTTTCACCGCAGTACTGCAGGTCGTGCTATGTACACATATACAAGTATCTATGTGTGTCTATCTAACTACGTCTCTATCTATGCATCTATGTATCTATCTACCGACCTAAGCGTATATATATATATATATATATATATATATATATATATATATATATATATATATGCATGTATGTATATACATAAATATATGCATGTCCTGCGGGTCCTGTTACTCAAGCCCGAAGCGTCGACCTGAGATGCACAACTGTTTCTGCGTTGTGAGCAGCTTCGCTGCATTTTCCAAGAGGGATCTGAGTTCGATTGCAGATAGCTGCATCTCCTTCGATTATTGAAAAATCCATCTGCACGCGCTGTTGTGCTGCCCCTACTCCCAACGATGCTCTTACAACTGCTTCTTTATAACCTTAAGGAAGAAGCCGCCTGCAGTGATGCATGCCATGTACTTGAGCTCATTTCACCTAAAGGCCGCTGATGCGGTGTTGTACATGCAGACAGAGGTTACTCGCAGCTCGCTAAGGCCTCTAGCGCGTGTGGGCATCAGTACACATTCCACACGTATGAAGAGTATGCTGGGGAGACTACCTAAGCGCTAAACCCTAAACCCTAAACCACCTCCTTTTTCTTTTCACTGTGGTGTAGACTCTATTGATATGGCACGTATTGGAAGATACTTTGGGTACTCTCTATACCAGAGTGTTTCTCATAGCACTAATGCCGGCCTCTAAGCTTTGTGATTGAATACATACACAGCAATATTTGTCCTGCAAAGAGACCCAGCTGCGACAAAGTGGAACGCCTCGTCATGAGGAAGAGACCTGAAGAAGGTCGTCTAAGATGCCTCGGACGAACAGCGGATGCCCCTCCTTCTTCAGCACAGGTGCACGCAATCAGATATGTTCAGGGGCTGGAGGTGCCCAGATACAACACCTGCGGTTTTCTTCTCTTGCGCCAACACAAGTTTGCTGCATGCAATACTCCACTCGGCTCCTGCAGCATTTCTCCCCTCTACGTATCAAGTGCACCAGCGCTCTGCGTCTGTTACTCTTCTAACAGTAGCACGGAGATTGGTAGTAAACCCTAAACTCCAAACACTAAACCGCAGGTTACAAGTGTCTGAAGACTCAAAAGAGGAAAATGTATTTGTGTAAAACGGGGAGATATCTACCTTTGTCCTGATGCGCCGTCTTCTCCTCTGGGGGTTAGCAGTGATAACTTGCTGGGAGCTTGTCTTTATGCTGATATGTGCTGCAACTGACTGCGTAGGCAAACGCCTGACTGTGTCTCTACTTGTTCTCCCTTGCTGTTGCTTGTCTCCCTTCCCTCTTGTCCTTTTATCTCTTTCTACTGAAGTGTATCTAACGTTGCAAACTAAAGAATGAAAACAGAGACAAATCAATTGTCTCCAAGGAGACAAAAGGGAAATGCAAATGCAATCAGCATATGCTGCGCAGAGCGGCAGCGAACAGTGTTGCAGTAGCAGCAACAGCAGCAGCAGCAGCTGCTGCTTCTGCTGCGGCTGCTCTTGAAGCACGCAGTCACTCCTTTCCAGAGCGTATCTAGAATCTCCGTCGGGCCTTGCGATTGGAAGAGCAGGGCCTCTTCAGTTTGAGGGGAAATGATCCTACCTGTCTGCTCTGCTCCGGTAGAAGAGGGAGATGCTGTCGCTTTCTGGTGCTGCTGCTGCTGCTGCTGCTGCTGTTGTTCTGCTGCTGCAGCAAATGAAGTAGCAGACGCCCCACAGCCAGCAAAGCCTCCCTGTTTTCCTGTGTGTCCGACCACCGGAGCAGCAGCAGCAGCAGCAGCAGCTGAAAGAACGCAGACTGCTGCTGCATGTGCTGCAGATAGCAGTCCCGGTGTAAGTATACAATATCGGGGGGCACGATGCGCTGCAGTGTCAAATCACAGCGCGCTACAACAGAAGCAGAATATTCATATCCATCACCAACACCCCTGTGGTCGTGCTGCTGGGGAGCTGATGTTGCAGCTGCCGTGGTTGCATCAGCACCAGCAGGTGCTGCTGGTGCTGTTGCTGCAACTGCACGCTGCTGCTTAGGGGCAGGAAGCTGCTGCCGCAGCAGCGCCAGCATTTCTTGCTGCAGCGGCTCAAGCTCCCCGTCAGCCATTTCCATGCTTACAAGGCTCCTGTATGCTGCTTCTGCTGCTGCTGCATCTCCTGCGCTAGCTGCGCGATCCTCGGCAGCAGCAGCTGCAGAAGCCGGAAATCCGCCTTCAGATTGCTGCAGCAGTGCTTCTGATTCTATTTCAACTGCAACAGATAAGACAGCAGGCTGCGTCCCGATGCATGAACTCAACTGTGCATATTTGGGTTGCTGCTTCTGCTGCTTTGCTGCTGCGTCATCCTTCTGCTGCTCTCGCTGCTTCTGCTGTCTGCTGCTGCTGTCACAGAACTTGTCTGCAGGCTGCATCTCAGCTAGACGCAACAACGGAGCAGTAGAAATTGCTGCTGCAGCTGCAGCAAGACCCTGCAACACCACTTCTTGTTTCTCTGCTGTTGCCCCTTCAACGTCCATGCAGCTGCTGCTGCTGCTACTTTGGCTGCTGCTGCTGCTGCTGTTGTTGCTGCTGTTGCTGCTGCTGTTGCTGTTGCTGCAGCTGTTGCCTCCAAGTGCCGCTGCCAAGCGCAGTGCTGGCGCAACGGCGGCCACGATAGCAGCAGCAAGTTGTTCTTGCTGTTGCTGCTGCTGTCGCTTCAGCACAACAGCGACGGCATCGCGGAGATAATACTGCTGCTGCTGCTCATCGAGGCTAAGCCCGAAGGAACAGCTGCATAGGAAGCATTGGCGTAGTCTCTGGGCTTCTTGCATAAGGATCCGCGTGGGGCTGACAGCTGCTGCTGCTGCTGCTGCTGCTGCTGCAGCTGTTCCCGTTGCTGCTGCTGTACACTGACGTACTGAATGTAACACACGCTCACGCTCCTCTGCGGCTGCGCCATCGCCTGCATGCTCCCCCAAGGAAGCAACAGCAGCAGCTACTGCTGCTGCTGCTTTCTGTGCGGGCACAGCAGCAGCAACCTGCAGCAGCACTGATGCCCATTGCTTTGGAGAGGCAGATATCCTGCGTATACACCCCAAAGTGGTATCATCTTTTATGCTGGACGCAGCTGCAGAGAAGCCCACTGCGGGGCCCCCGGAGGGGCCCCCTAGGGGGCCCCCTGTTGTTGTCTGGGTGCTGCAGCAGCTGGAGTTTGCTGCTGCAAAACACCACTCCCACAGCTTTGATTCTTGCTGCTCGAGTTGTTGCACTGCCTCTGTCGTTACGGCTGCTAGGCCAGCTGATTGGTGGTGGTGGTGCTGCTGCTGTTCTTCATTTGCTGCTGCTGCTGCAGCAGCAGCTGCTGCTTGAGAGCCTGCTTCTGAGCCAGCTGCTTCTGAAGGCCCCGACGAGGTGAAGGCGGGCTGAGCAGCAGCAGTATCAACAGCAGCAGCAGCAGGAGTGTCTGCATGCGCTAGGTCGCATGCAAACTGCGCAGCAACAAACGGGGGNGGGCCCCTGGGGCCCCCTGAGTCTCTTGCTGTCTCAGCTCTGCTCTCCCAAGAGAGATGAGTGCATGCGCTGCTGCTGTCATTTGCTGATTCAGTGCCAAAGATGAATCTTGTGCTGCAGCAGCATCTGCTGCTGCTGCTGCTGCTGCACCTACGCCGTCATCTGAGGAGGGCCGGCTTGCTGCAACTATCCAGCTAGCTACTGCAGGCCATGGCTGCCACGGTGCTGCTGCTCCTGCTGCTACTGCTGCTGTTGCTGCTGCTGCTGCACGTATAGATGCAATAGAATGCCGTCCTCCCCCGGCCTGGTGCAGCAGTTGTTGCTGCTGCTGCTGCTGCTGCATGCGTCGCCGCATGTGCCGCTCTAAGTGCATCAGCTTTGCAGCAGAGGAGGAGAATCGTCGCGAGCAGCAAAAGCAAATAAAGGGTTTACCTGCATGCATCTGCTGCAGCAGAGAGGGAGAAGGAGGAGCAGACAGCAGCTGCGCATAGATGAGGCGGTTGCCTATCACCTGTTGCTGCTGCCGCTGCTGCTGCCGCTGCCGCAGCCGAGCCACNAGGGGGAAGCTCTGATACATGCGCTGTATACGTTAGGTGGCGGATGCTATCACGAGACCGCGTCACCGTGGCCAGCTGCTGCTTGTCTGTAGCTAGCTGCTGCGCGTCCCGCTGGAAGAGCCGCCGCAAGCCTTCAGGTAGAAGAGAAGGAGATATCTTGGTGAGGGGGGCAGCATCAGCTGGGTTAATATCCATATAAGAGGGGTGCTGCTTGCTGCTGCTCCTGCTGCCTGCTGCAGTCGCTCCTGCCGGTTGCTTGCTGCCTTTCCCTGCAGCAGAAGAAGCAGCAGCTGCAGCGTACTGCTGCAGCAGAGGCAAGAAACGACATAGGGATGAAGGAGGCGGCAGCGACAGCAACACGAGGGGGTCGTCTGCCTCTGCTCCTGCTGCGAAGGGGCCCCCTCCGCCGAGGGTGCGGGGGCCCCCCTGCCCTTCTAAGCCGGGTGGCGGCATAGTTGAGGAGAAGGAGAAGACAGCAGAGAATATGATTATCTTACAGGGGCAGAGAGGGGCCCCTGGGCCCCCTCATACCCCCTAACCAACCACCCCAACAGAAGGAGCAAAAAGAAATAACCGCACAGGACTGCAGCTGGCGCCCAGCAATCATTTCTTCNCACCCCAACAGAAGGAGCAAAAAGAAATAACCGCACAGGACTGCAGCTGGCGCCCAGCAATCATTTCTTCGCTGGCTGCACAGAAGAATATAGGGAAATATATTTGGTCGTTTTGCTGCTACATATGAACTCGATTGAGCAGCAAACGTGGTGTTGCATACATGCATGCATGTGTTTTGGGGCTGGCAATATGCATGCGCATGCATGCAGATCAATTGATATATTTAATTCTGGTGTATTGTAATGTTGAACTTTTATTTTTTTCAGTTCTCCTTAGAGCTCCATACATAACCACGGTGAGGCTGCGCATGCAGCGTTGCAGCTGTTGCTGCTATCTAGCCCCCCCTGTGTTGTCTCGCTCTCGTCTATAGCTAGCCGGTGAGCAGCTGTGCCCTCCTTTTTTCTTTTCTTTTTTTCTGTTGAAATTTGTGAATTATTATCTGATTATTTTTATTTAAATTGTTTATAAAGATATATTATTATACGCCAATGGCAGACCCAGCGACCCGGGCATTGATAGCCAAGCTGCCTCTGTGCTCCGTCAACGCGGGGCCGCGTAGCCCCCAATGGAATGAAAGACTAAAAGAGGAGTATATGGCGTTAATTAATTATTTAACAATTACAAAAGAAACGGATAAAGAATGGTTTAGAATAGAAGCAAACAAAGAGGGAACAGAGTGAGAAATATAACGATCTTATACACAAATAATCATCGGGGGTGCACAGACACCTCAAGCACTCTTATTACACCAAATAAAAAAGATAATTATATTATAAATATTTTATATATACAGACGAGGGGTCAGACTGCCCTCAAACACTCTCTGTACTGCTCCTGTTAGCAGCTTTCTCCTCTGTCTCTCTTGATTTATGTATTTTATTTGACTGTAATTTAATTTAATTTAATTCTTTCTGTTTTATACAGGTGGAAAGGGCGGTGCTGGTGCATGTACGAAATGGTGAAGTACGAGTTCGAGTTGGTCTTCGATG